CATAAATTTCTATTTAAATTTTTTCCAACATAAAAAATCAGGAGGCCACATGTTTGTCTATTGAAATTCTACATATCTATTTTTTACTCTACATTATAGTTTATAAACACTAAATATTAACAAACATTTACTTTTCAAAAGATACTGTAAATAATGCAATATAGGGCATGCAAACAACATTTTTGACCTATAGGAACATGGGATTCATTTTCAAGAATTTATCGGATAATTGCAGGATAAAGATGCAAGTCAGAGATTCGTCTTACTGTTGAATATATTTCTTCATGACAACTTTTTTCTTTGTCTGACCGCCGTCAAAAGGAAAATCGAGACGAAAAACTTTGCTTCAAACACGGGCGTCGCTAAAACGATTGTAAAGTACCCACTTCAAAACATATATTTCTATCAACGTTAAAGTATAAAGTAGAAGATTTTTTTAATATTGAAAATTTTTCGTCATAACAACAGTTTTCTTTGCCGGACCATCGTTAAAAGAAAAAAAAAAGAGACGTAAAACTATACTTCAAACACGTGCGTCGCTCAAACGATTGTGAAGTACTATCTTCAAAACAATTATTTCTTTCAAAGTTGTAAAAAATCCTTTAGGTGACATGTGACGATATTTAACCACACCATTTCGTTAAACAATACAATCAACACCTTTATTAATTAGTTCAATGTTGCCGATAGCTATACAATGAAATCAGCTGATTGTTGATTTTCTATCTAAATCTAAGCGAGTTTAAAGGTAATTCCCAGTTGCCTGATCAGGGAAAAAGTTTGAGAAACCTGAAAAAAAGTAAACAAGATGGACGAAGCCGAACCGTTATATTTTGCCAGTTATGAATTTTAAACGCCACATTTTTTTATTATTTCGTTAAATGCGAGAATGGCGACCGCCAGCGGAAACCCTGATCCCATCGAATTTGAAATAAAGGATACAACAGATACTGTTAAGTCTACCTCATATCTTGACTTACATCTCAATTTGACAATGAGGGTCGGATGAGAACAAAACGGTACGACAAAAGAGATTTTCAGCTTCCTAGTGAACTTTCCATTCCTATGTAGCAGCATTCCAGCAACGCCTGCATATGGAGTATATATCTCCAAGTTGATACGATATTTCAGAGCTTGCATTTTCTATCATGATTTTGTTGATAGACGGTTGTTGTTAAACAAAGAGTTCCAAGTGGTGAAGTTGAAATCATCCTCTTGAAAATTTTATGGACGCCGTCGTGAGTTGGTTGACCGTTTTGGAATATCTGTTTCATAGATGACGACGGATATGTTCCAATCGTCGTATTTACAATCCTGTCCTCTTTCCCGCGAATATGACCTACCGAATAAGACTTATCAAGTACTAACTTGAGCAACATGACTGGTGCCACCCATGAAGCAGGATCTGCTTACCTCTCCGGAGCACCCGAGATCATCCCCGGTTTTTCGTAGGGTCGGTGTTGGTCTATTAGTTTATTTGCTAGTGCCTTTGGTATTTCTCGCCTCTCTTTTTATACAGCACCATATTGCACCTTGCAAGTTCCACAAGTAAAAACATGAATTCTATTTACCGTTTGCAGCCATCAGAGGTTGCAAAGATGTTGTATTGCTGCATTGTCACTGGGCTGACGTGTCGTCAGAGTTAGCGGCTTAACGAGACTTACAATTGCGTCTTCCGCATAATGGTTTGTAACTCTAGATGTTCGGGTTTTTCAGGTGTAGCTAATATATCTTTGAGATTTTTTAGTCAGCGTTAACTAATAGTGGGAAACAAAAAATATTTCTCATTTGAGGGAGGGTTAATTTCAATAAGACAACAGTGCGGACAATGGATAAAGGGTTTGACAGATTATGATGAATGGTACATTTGTATTCTAGGGCTAAGAAAGATCTTTCTATCTTTTTCGTGAGCTTAACCGAAAGCTTGCGCAATTGTTTGCTTTCTTCTTATTTTGACTTAGGTTGTTTGCTGCGTTGTCTCAAATGGTCAATGAGGAGGAAAACGCTTTTTCTAATGGTTTAAATGGTAAGGATGCCTTTTAAATTTTTCTAGGTCAAAAATTCAGATAGTAATTTGATAGAATACAGGTACCTGTAGTTATTACATGTCTTTTCGTCCTTTTTCGATTTAACATCAGCGTTCTCAGTTTGGCGTCGACTTGTTAGGTGTGAATGTCCTTTTAAGTATCATGTAAATCTTGTTATTACAATGCTCGCAATATCTCGTATATTTCTTTCAGTTTTAAATGCCATCAACCGGGTATGTATGCCACCACCAAAGATATGCATTATGCAAGATCCCCAATTAAAATGTTGTCGAAAAAAGGTGCGTTTTGGTTTCTCACTAGTATCGTCAATCTGTATGTTTTGTATCTTGAATGTGCTATGGAAGTTGTCAAGATGGTTATCAACGAATTTGTTTGATAGGATGACAGTTTCCTGATACTACTGGTCGTCCCAGAATTCCTCCATTATGAATAACTATACGAAAAAGAATTTGAAGCATGAGATTCAACTTATAATTTTTTTTCAAGGAGTTGGAATGGTCTCGACTCATCTGATCGGCACAAAGCACAAAAAAAAACTTACAAAAAAACTTAAATAACAGATCTATTTGTACTCAAATCTATTTGACCGTTTTGTTTTCAATGCTTGGTGTTTTTTATACAGATAAGACCATTGATTTTCCTGATTGAATTGTTTTACACTAGTCCATTTTGGGGTCGATTATAGCTTGCTGTTCAGTGTGAGCCAAGGCTCCGTGTTAAAGGCCGTCCTTTGACCTAAATTGTTAACTTTTATGTATTGTGACTTGGATGGAGAGTTGTCTCATTGGCACTCATACCATATCTTCTTATTTATATGTGTTTCTTATTTTGTTACTCCAAACCGAGTTTATACATAAAATAATTTCATTGAGTGAAAAAGAGGGTTTCACTATTGAGCAATTTCAATGATTTAAAAATTTGATATGACATAGGTTTTTTGCTGAGTTGTCTCAAACGGTAAATGAAGTGGAATTCCGAGAAGCAAAAATGTTTTTTTTTTCTAATGGTTAGGAATGCTTCGGGAATAGTGTTTCAGGATTACAAAATGCAGGCACTTATTACAATGTCTTTTCGTCCTTTTTAGTTTTTTTAACCATGACGTCCTCAGTTTAGCTTCGACTTGGCAGGTTTGGAAGTCCCTTGGTATCTTCTGCATTTTTTTATAACAATGATCCGTAACATTTTGTAAATATCTTTCAGCTTCAAATGTCATCAACAGGTACGGTACACTAAAAAAATGCATTCTTCAAATACCTCATGAAAATATTTTCGAAAAGGGTGACATTTTGTTCCCATACTAGTATCGTTAATCTGTAAGTTTTGTATCTTGAAAGTGCTATGGAAGTTGTCAAGATGGTTATCAATGGACTTGTATGGTAAGATGACCACTGGCTGATAGTACCGGTCGTCCTAGAATTCATGTATAATGAATAACCATATGAACAAAGTTTTGAAGCAAGTAGACACATAAAAAGACACAAATAACAGATATATTTGTACTCAAACCTATTTGACCGTTTTGCCTTCAAGGCATCGTTACTTATATGACGAACTCCAAAACAAGTTTATACAAATGTTTTAATGAGAAAAAAGGGGATTTTATATTCTGAATTTCACCATTAAGCTATTTCTTTGATTTAAAAATTATGAAAAATGAAAATTTCATAATAAGGCTAACTAACTAAAAGATAAAAAGTACATGTATAAGTTTTTTACAATTTGTTTATTTCTGGAAACTATAAGCTTCTATGTGCACAGTTCAACACGCATTCAATTTCCAATAGCTTTAACTGATATCGAGTTAATATGAATGTAAAAGGCATATTAATGTCTTTGACAAAACAAATCTCTCCTCGGGGACTTTTTTTTATAATTCTGACGTCTCAAATAGGACAGGCGTGTCTTAAAGAAAACAGGACACAGACATAAGTTTCGGAACGTCTTTTACGCAATATAGGAAAGAATACAGTTCAGACGAAAGTACAAACATTTAAGGCTAAACATATATTTGATGCTTATATTACTTTATATATTATCAACTAGACCTAAATGTCGATTAATAGTGGAATTTAGGCTATAAGCAATCATCAAGATCAGTGAAGGTGTTAAACAATTTGTTTAAACTGTTCATGGAGCGGACTTCATAGTTGACCATTCACGGGTGATTGTATCTCTTATTTCTTGTTTCGGAGAAGACCATCTTAAATCCTTTTTTAATGACTTACCATGTTATTATACTTGCCATGACTTACCTGACATATACAATTATTGAAGCTGAAACTGGTGACCTGTATAAGTGATCATCCGCGGTTTTTATGATAGAACTTTATTCTATCCTAAGCTAATATGTGGTGTTTTGTTTACTGTTTACTGCTTTTGAACATGGTTTATATCATGACCAGTTATATTATCACTTTTTTTCTGGTTTTCAAATGAAATAATCGATATTACCGTGTACCAGAACCTATCATTTCCACGTTTAAGGAGTAGTAATTTTGGATGTTTTTAAACCTTGTAAGATTTTGTTTATAATTTAACATTTACTTACTGGTAAATATTATGTTCATAACTTTGAAAAACCATGTGAAGAAGAATCACTATCTCGTTTTCATATTGTCATATTGTTAGTACACACAAGAAATAATTCACATCTGTTTTTATTAACAGTTGTGTGGAAACGTCAATATAATATCCTTTAGAGTTCTGTGCATTGAACTACTCGCTATTCAAACAAACAAACTCAAATTTTCCAAAATTCAAATAAAATGCATTTATATAACTTGTAGTGTCAAATTTACTTTATTGAGAAAAATAGATATTGTTTAATTGTTTGACATTTCAGAAAATGACTTAATTTATCTTGAGTTTTAAACTTACGGAGATTAACTATCGATTTGAATTTTTTGAAATTTTGTAGGGTGATAATTGTGAAATTCGACGTATAAGAACAATCGTCGCAATATATAATTCAGAGGCATAGATGTTGATATCAAGTGTAAAAACAAAACTTTAACATGATACGTCTATGCTTTAAACATAGCTTGAATGACAGTTAAGGTAGTTTTAACACCCTAAAGAATTTACAATGACACAAAGGTCTGAGAAATTAACTTCCTTCTTACGCAGCCATCGAGCCTAGTAGCAGTAAAACAGCAAATTTGTGGATTATATCAAACTTAACTGCAGTTAAGATCGAAATTTTGAAAGTAAGTAAATTTTAAATAGTTTGTGATGATTATTGAATCTTGCAAGAATTTACCGAAAATTCTATTTTCTATCAGATCAAAACAGATAGACTGATAAAATGTTAATGAAAGTCAAACTCACTCAAATATGGCAGTTGTATGTTTTTATAAATCAGCTTAATTATGGTAATCAATTTTATGAGATTTGTTTAGAAATGTATATTAAAAATAATTGATAAAACTTAAACTTGTTTTATGACTTTATCTTTGGCAACAAATGCGTATTTGAACAATTTAAATCAATAATTCATTAGGAAAATATAGCATAACTCGAGCAAAACTTACAATAACAGCAATGGCTATCCAGACCTACTAGAAACTAACTACGTCTATATAAAGTATCTGTTCCCTTAGATTTCGCTTTTCATACCGCTAAGGTTCATACTTGCATGATTGCCGTTCATGGTCCAAAGCTGTGAATATAACTGGTCAAAATCCAAAGCTTCAAAACACAACGGTTCATATCAAGGATACATACATTTTGGTTTTGTATGAAGCAGTAAGAAGCATCAAAACAAAAATATAAATCACAATGAAAATAAAATATAAAATATGTAAGGGTTTATATAAACCATCAACCTGGAAAGTCACATTATATATCCTGTCTGAAACCTGTACTACAAATATGTTACGGTTTACCCCTGCCTTTATGTATTTTGTCGTTACGATCTATTATTTTAACATTCACCATGCAGTGTAGCTATACAGTACAAGTTTCTGTCTATAGTGTTACTTTTTTATGAAAAGCTTTTTTTTAATTATCTTCACAAATGGATCTTTTTTTACGAAATAATTTTTGCGATAAAGTATTTACCTTATATATGCACTGATTGTGTGCAAGTTATTTTTTTTACCATCAGCAATGATGATTAAACAAACCTGATGTTTCCGCATACGTGAAACGTTTTGTAATTTGCAGCGAAAATAATTTTCTCGTGTATGCAGTACTTTATAACCATACTTTCAGTCATTAATTTAGTATTTGGTGTGTTAATAGCGCAATTCCAAATTAGAAACGTACCATTTGAGGATACTCATGTATTACCTTTAACGAGCCTCTAACATTCTTCTACTGCTAAATATATCAAGATTATGTAACATAGTAACGTTCGTTATGATGACGTAAGTGATGTTCATACCGTCGGGAAAAGTATAAATCGGGTAAGAATAAGAGAATTCTTCGGTTAGTGGTCAGATAATTCAAACAATCACTTATATATATTGATATATGTGAAAAGAATCTAGCTTTTAAATGTATTTTCTTATTATAAATCCACTTAAGAACATAAATTTAAATAGATATATATAAGCACATAAATTGTTGCTATTTAACTGTCATGTGATCAATCATGGAAGTTACTCTTTTACATTTCAGTTTGCTTAGGGCAAAACAGTAAGAATTTCAAAGGTTTCCCTTAACTTTTTTTATACAACAGTACATAATTTTATAAACAAACAAAAGTACCAGAGCATTATATATGAATTAAGTGTGTACAAAATTTAAAATATATTTAACAATCCATCTGTGATTTCAAAATAATTTTTATTTTGTACTCATTTCATGTAATTTTTGGTTTAAATTTTGTACACGTTGAGACATGTTTGCCTAGTGCTTGTAGAAGTGTTTATTATGTATTTGTATTTCAGTTAAATATTTCAATACATAATGAACATTGAATTCTGGAGTGATATACATTGTGTTCATTTAAATGCATATACAAAAGGCAGTAATTCTTATTTGCAAATAATTTTTAAAAAAATAATTAAAAATCAAGTTTATCATCAATCAAGAGTTTAATATTCCATGGATAGCCAAAAATACCATAATAAGTTCAAAAAATGTAAATGCTGGTTTGAATTCAAACACTTCTGATTCATTATTTTGTTCGTGGGTATTATTTGTTGTGGAATTGTGAGTAAAGAGAACAATTTATAAAATAATAAAATAGCCTTATTAGTTCGGTGACTGAGGGCAGATATTTTTTTAATTTAATCTCTCCACCGAACACACACATATATAATATATAATTAGAAAGAAAAAAACTTGTACTATAACAATATGCTTGTCGTAACGACCTGACATGGTCACATTTTTTTAAATTGAGGTCAAAGGTCGTCTTAACAAATCTGTGAAAATTTTGGAAGGTTTCAATTTTGACATTTGTTTTCTATTTCTAATCTCTACCTTAATACAAACGATACTGTTTTGGCTTAAGTAATGTTTATTTTTATACATAAACCTAAATCATAAATATTTTCTAAAAACATTCCGAAAAAGACGATTTATAAACAAAACTCCAAAAATCCAGTTTACAACCCCTAAAATGTTAAGAGCACCTTTACCTTATAAATTATTTTAATTTCAGGTAAACATCAAGTGTCATGAAGGACAATATTTCAAAATCATTTTTTTAAAATAGCATATTGGATGAGGTATCAAGCCAGGAGCAATAATACACTACAGTTAAATATGAACTCAAATTAAATTTGCTGATACTATTGTGTTTATAGACTACTCCTTGCTTTTTTTTTTTTTTTTTTTCACAATTATTGCTGTTTCCATAGCATTATCTACTTTGTATATTTCACTTTGGTTAATGTCTAGAGGTATTCCCGTAACAGTGTGGACAACCGCAATACTTATGTTGGTAATAATACTGAACCATTTACCCTTAGCTTGTTTGTCATCGGCTATCGATAACAATGATTTTACGCTCACTCAGTCTGTCAGAGGCCTTCCAGTGGGGATTTAAATAGAGTAAAAGATTAAGTTCATGCATGTGCATGAGAAGAAAAAAGAATGTTTAAGTATTCAACATTCAAATCAACACACAAGGTTTAGTCATCTGCTAGTTATTCATATTATTTGATTTAGGCGATTAGAACCTTTGGCGACCCCACAGTTTAAATGTCTATAACAAGTACGATGTAATAAGTGCGTTACAGACGAACGTTTACCGAATCTGACCCAGCCGATTGATAACCTGAGCGCGTCAAGAAATGGTCTCGTCCACACTGTTATGAAAACGATTATATTACATGATCAGTTTTACACCCATAACCCCCCCCCCCCCCCTTTTTTTCCTTGCAACGTACCAAAGACTTCAATAGGTATTCAATATAAATATAAGAAGATGTGGTATGATTGCCAATGAGACAACTTTCCACAAGAGACCAACTGACACAAAAATTAACGACTATAGGTCTCCGTACGGCCTTCAGCAATGAGCAAAACCAATACCGCATAGTCAGCTTGTAAAGTACCCGAAATGACAAATGTAAAACAATATAAACAAAAATTTATCGGCCTGATTTATTACAAAATAATCAACTAAAAAAATATGATATACAGAAACAAACGACAAACTAGTTTGAAGGCGCGCCAACCCTCCCCTAACTTAGGAAAGTGGTGTAACAGTACAACATAAGAAAAAACTATAAAAATCAAGCCTGATCTCCATCTTCTCCATCAACCATCACAAGACGTGTTTTAATATTTCTTCACATTTCACTTGCCTGGCATGTACATGAAAGGTTCTGCTCAAAGTAGACACATTCTGTTGAGCACACAGATTTTCCTTTACAAGAACAAAAAAGGTCTTGTCCGAAGACATTTGACCCTCGAAAAATACCAGTTTCAAACCATTTTTATCAATCCATTCAAAATTTAACGGAGATCTAATAGGTGGTTTAGGAAAGTGTGATGACATTCAAATGCTTGTCTTCAAAGATGCTCGAAGCAAATGTTGCCTAAATGTTGATTCACAAGGGGGAAGCTTGGCCAGAGACGCATATTAGGCAATCGCAAGTTTTACACGTAATTTATTGAGGTCACTGTGTACGTTTTTGAATTTACTCTTCTAATCATAAAGCAAAGCCACGAGCATTTTTGGAACTGAAAGAAATTCATCTACATCACAGTTTGCCAGGTTTACTAAATCGGACACATCACAACACACCTGCTTCAGAACTTTGAAAACCTTTTTTACCTATACCAAACATTGCCGATATGGTGTCACATCCTAAAATGGCATGTATGACAGGCAAGCATTAACTGACGATGGAATTCAAAGAATTGCATAGTTCATGTATGGGTATAAAACGTCTTGAATCCTTGGTACTGGTTATAGTTCCTGTTTCAAACCAAAGTTCTGCTGTGTTTTTCAGGGAAGACAAATAGTGGACACAAAGACCTAAAACATCCGTGTCAGGGGATTTCACTATGATCCTTCCTGAACAGCTACCACTTCCAAACCGTCTATCGGCATACATTGCGTTCAAAATCATACGCGTATCAGCTTCCTCATGCGTACTGTAAAGCTAAACGCAGTCTTTGACAGTTTTATCACAAATGCTTTTTATGAATTGAGGATCGGAAAAAGTTCTAGCTTAAATAAGTTCGTTATTATTTGCTAGTGCATTAGGGTTCTATTGGTGGTAACAAACAATAAAATTACCAAGAAACTTGAGCATTTTTGCTTATTTACGTTAGTAAACAAAAACATTTTCCAGTCTGGAAGGCAGAGACCTTCAATTACTTTAAATTAGTTGATTGACTCAAACTTTCAGTCGATGTTTTTTAGCATATTATACAATGCATAAAATTTAACGACTTTCGTCTTTTCTTTGGACTTGAAGGAGCAAGTTTCAACGAACTTGCCGAAACGTACATATCGCGGAATTTTAACTGAAACTATCCATCAATTATTTTGATTTTTATATATTTTTACAATCAGACTTTTCTGACAAAGTGCATTTGACGGTTTATGGCAAAAACAAAAAGAGAATATAAACATATACAAACAAACTTTGTTCATATATTAGTGCACTTAATTGAAAATAATTGTATATAATAGCGAAAAAGGTCTTTATTTTATATATCAGTTGAGTGCAAATTATTGACCGTAAGGATTAATAATACATAAAATGTGATGAAACGGAAGTGATAAAGTTCCGTGATAAAATTGCAATGTTTTACTTTATTCTTTTTCCGTTGTTATCTTAAGGCTTCTGATATTTAGGTTCTGAAATTTTTATCAGTAACATGTTTTATGAAGTACAATGTACTACATGCTTAAAATATTATGGGATAGTTTTGACTACTACTATGAAGAAGAAACTAAACTACTGAAAAAGGAATGTTGCAAATTTCCCAATATACTACTAGTCATTAAAACGATTGTTTTTAGAAGAATATGACCATACGAAATTCTTACGACAGGGTGGAAAATAAAGAAGATATATTTGTCTTTATGTTTAGCCCATTTTTAGCCATGTGTTATTTGGGGCTATTAAACTCGAAATTTAGACGACTTTTTACACTTCTGTCACCGCACTATATGTGCTTTTATGCAGTGTTTGTTTTAATGCGAAATGAAGCACCCAAGAAACAAACAGTTTGTTCGCGATCTTCAAAATTCGCAGTACCAGAAATTGCATAAAAATTAAACCTTGGTAAAGCTGAACATGTCCTGATGATAATTATATTTAAATTCTCCATCCCCAAAAATTAACAATATAGCATGTTTAGGAATACGTCAAAATGTTGTTAGAAACTTTGCAAATCCATGATACTGAACTTGATAAAGATTGAAAGACTTTTTAACAAATGTTCCTAGTGTGAAACAAATTTTCAAGACCATGGCCCTACTCCTTTCAAAATGTCTCATTTAACCAAATATAAATGGATCTCTGGTGCTGCATTGTGTGAGTGTATCTAGGATTGAAACAAATAAATTGTACAAGTAGGTAATTTCTTTTACCACAGACTCTTCCGCGAATGATCAATGAATTCTAGTCATAAAATTCTTAATTGGCTAGATCAACGATCATCAATTTAAAATACCTATATTTTATAGCTTATTGCTTTGACTTTTCTTTAATAAATATGAAAATTAAGAAGATGTGGTATGATTGTCAATGAGACAACTCTCCACAAGAGACCAAATGACATATAGGTAAACAACTAATGGTCACCGTACGGCCTTCGCCAATAAGAAAAACTGATATCGCATAGCAACCTATAACAGTCCCCGAATTGACAAATGCATACAATTCAAACGAGAAAACTAACGGCTTGATCCTATAGAAGTTCTTACTTTAAGAATTTAAAAACAAATCGACCACACTGGAATAAAGATAACATAAACAAATATTTTCATTGATCGCTTCATAACATTGGAGTTTCACCTAAAGGCAATTGCATGATGTGTTGAAGACACCGAAGTAAGTGGACATTGTATGAGAAATGCATGTGTACAACATTAAAATGTATTAAATAATTAATTTTCGTTTTGAGGATATTTTAGTTTTATACTCTTTTCATATGAAATATTATGATATAAGACGCTTCGACTTAATTTTTAATTGGAAATTTTGCACAGATTTACTATTAGTCAAATTGATTATTCGTCGTATTTTATCTTTACAGTTATCATTGTATTTTTATATCTTGAGTCCAACATATATTATATTATTAGAACGATCTAATAAAAGATTGCAAATTAAGAATTTCAATTTCTATTCAGCAATTTCTTTGAAGTACATAATGGAATGTGAAAAAGTGCGTTCAATTGAAATATTGTGAAGCTCATGGTGCAATCAGGATTCTACTTCGTCAAAATTATCTCCACCATACGCCAGTATTTTTTACAATCGTGAAAAAATGAAGCCATTGTAGGGATGCCGCGCTGCCAATTTAGCTCTTGAAAACCGATAAATTTATCCACATAGCACCATATCGATCCTTATATGCCAGTTGTATTTTAAAAGACAAATGTATCTACTAGCTATAGAGCTTTTCTGCATTCAGTCAACGTAAAACTATTGTCTGATCGATTGTCAGGTGGAATTTTCGAAAGTTCAAAAACATTTAAAAAAATTCTCATTAAATATTTCGTGGAAGGGCACACTAAAACATTTCAGAGGTTGAAGACTAATAACCCTATATAACACACACGAAAAATTAAGTTTTTTTGAAGTTATGCATCTTTAAGATCCAGTAAAGAAGTCTGTCGTCAAGTACTTTTTAGTAAAAAATTGTTATTCGAACACACCTACTCTGTTGTTATGACTCATTAGAAAGGTATTTCACTTGATCCATGTATTTCATTTTTTAGTACTGTGAATTTTTAATGTTATAAAATCAACATGTAGCCTTAATATATAAAAATAATAGAATATGAAGCGAGATGATGTATCAGATATTTTTGCTTTATACGTTTTCAAGACAGAATTGTCAACTCAAACACGCCCTAACATAAAAAAAGGTGCACTCGACTCTCTCTTTTTTATATGTAATTGTTGCCCTTTTTTTCCCGAAAAACTGTCGCCGGGGGCAGAGATGCAAATTAATGCTTTAGAAAGATCAATCTATTATCTTTCTGTGGAATTTATGTTTATGCACAAATAAGATCAACTTGGATTTGAACCTGCCACAATCGACTGTTTTATGAAAATTTGTCTATAATTTAAAAGTTTACAAATACCTCGAAGCTCCATAGTATAATTAAAGTAAAAACACGTATATAAGATGCATAAAATCCTAAATTATGCACCTTTATTAATCTTTTAAAGCCCATAGAAACAGATTCAAATATACCAATTGTGCTTTTCTACCTTCTCTAACAAAGAGTTCCATTTCTTTTGTTAAATTTCAACTGGGTTTCCGCCTGGGTGATAAATTAGGACACACCAATTTGATAAATAGTTTTTTGGACATTTGCTCTAAAAAAAATGAGGTGAGCGAGCGAATTTTTTTTTCTTTTTATATATTTCTTGAAAATGAGTTTTTGACAGGCGAGTTGTCTGTAAGAGGAGCGAGCGATATCTTTTTTATTTTTAAGTGAAACATGCAAGGGTTATCAAACAGAATAAGAAGGAAAAGCACTGATGTTATGATGCATACACTTAAGGTAGATCATAGGTATATATTTCTTGAGATAGAATTTTCTTATAATTTGCCAAAATGAAGATTTTACTATGCTTTTTTCAAAAATATAATAAAAAGTATGGGTCACCGTGTTATTTTCCAAGCTATGAGTCGTTGAAAAAAGCCTAAATTTGGTTAGATTGTTCATGAAAAAACACATTTGTGTGCATAAAAAAAAATCTATGAGATAGAATTTTGAAATAAATTGTGAGAAGATAGGTTTTATAATATATTTTAAGAAAATAAAAAGAAAAAATGGTGTCACCGAACTTGTTTTCTTGCTACAAGTAAAAATAAAAAATTCCCTATCAGTCCAGTATATATTTTTTACTTAAAGAGTTATCTCCCCTTAAATGGCTTATTTGAAAAAATTGATTCTAAAAACACAGAATTTGATATTTGTTTAAATATTTTGAATTATACAACAAATCACCAAGTGTTCTTTATATAAATAAACAGTCTAACCAATAAATTGCAAATCTGTCTCCAAATTTGCAGATTTGGGCAAATAACTAGACCGATTTTGTACTGGGATTGTACAATTCAAGATGGCGGTATACCATGAATCTACCTTAAAATTCATTTGCCTGTACCAAATCATTGAAAAGAAAGGATGTAAGGTACACATCCATGGCACAAAATCAGTACTTGTACAGAAAAAAAATCACAAAAAGCAAAGGAATAGGACTTTTATTGCTGTTCTTCATCTCAAAGTTACAGTGAGGTCTTCAATGCCAAGCCAATACCCTAACATCACAGCAAATAAGTGTCTTTTTGTTCCACTGTGGTATAGTTTATTTTTGTTTTTTTATTTTCTTGAATCAAGCATTTGTTTGTATGAATTTTCATTGTAATCAATATGGTTAAGGTGCTTATTTGATAAATATTCATGCATGTTCAGGACCAAAATTAGTGAATGAAATATTTCTTGGTTTGCATTAGAACATGCTAAGCAAGATATTCAATTGGCTAGTTAACATGGTTCCGTTTTAAAGCTGAAGTAGATATAAGAAGATGTGGTATGAGTGCCAAGAGACAACTCTCCGTCCAAGTCAAAATTTATAAAAGTAAACCCTTATAGGTCAAAGTACGGTCTTCGACACGGAGCCTTGGCTAACACCGAACAGCAAGCTAGAAAGGGCCCACAAAATTACTAGTGTAAAACCATTCAAACGGGAAAACCAACGGTCTAATCTATATAAAAAACGAGAAACGAGAAACCACATCAACAAACGACAACTACTGAACATCAGATTCCTGACTTAGGACAGGTGCAAACAATTGCAGCGGGTTTAAACGTTTTAATGGTACCAAACCTTCACCCTTATCGTAAGGCCTGTCACCCCATTTGAATAAATTATTCTGACTCTAAGCAAACTACTCTAAACTCTTACACCTTGAAGCAGCAAATATTTAAAAAAAACTCTTAAACGTGACTTAAAAATGGCAATGCCAATGACCTTCACCAATGTAAACAACATGCAAATCACAAGACAATTAAATTGATACTTTCAGTTTGTTACTTTTTGGTGAACAGCCTTTCATGACAATGTTTGAGGTTTTACTAAATTCCACCAAACAAAACATGGAGTTTTTTCATGTTTGAAGACTGTATGGTTGCCTATAATTGCTTACGTTTACTTCTTTTGAATTTGGTGGATAGTTCTCTCATTGGGAATTAACCACATCTCCTTATTATTATAGTAAGATCTCTGTTTGGATGCTAATTACAAACAGAAGGGTATGAGTTCTCACCGAAACCAACCGCTACTGTGAATTGTTAGATGCACTCTGGGAATAAATAAATTCTTAATATCATGTAATTTTTATTTTGATAGTATGATTTTGACATATTTCTGACACAGTAAAAATGTACTGCTTTTCAAATCAAGTTACTTGAATTGTCTATCACCTTTTTGCTTCTTTTCCTGCAGTTCTACAGGTTTTACATAATGGTCGAACAACTGAAAATATTGTATATAAATTTTGTATATAGTCATCCACATCATCTAGTAAATCTTCAGTTTTTCCACAGAAAATGCAGCATGGTGGAACAAAATGTCGCATAGTAGCACCAAAATAATTGATTTCTACTTCAGAGTTACATGACAGACTTTCAAGAACAAACAATCCGCTATCTCCAGGAAAGATATCTCCACATGTGTAGTTATCCTCTTCTCTAATACGAAGAAGTATTCCATCCTGAAGCACAAGAGTTAAAAGTACAGATTTAAATTCAAAATCTACACTGTTTATATAATACACAAGTATATATAAGATTTTTATTAAAGAAAGTTTTACTAGTGTAAATATCAGGTCTGAAAAATATTATATTTAATTCTTCATATGGACATTCTTTTTTGTGATACTGAAGTAGGACTAGTGCATGTGGTCGGGTTGTTGTCTCTTTGACACATTCCCCATTTCCATTCTCAATTTTATGAGTACTCATAGTCACATCTTACTAAATAATGTTAGGTTTAATCAAACAAATGAAAATCTCTAAAGCAACTCTCGACTAAATGGTTTTAATTTGTCCTGTGTATCAAAAGGAGAAAAGGGAGAATGGATTTACACTGGGTCTATCTGTACTGTCAAGAACCTTAAACATTCTAGATGCTTTTAAATGGACTTTATAAACTTTTGGAGGTCTGTTATGAGTGTTACATTTAATAGTGATTTTGTGCCATTAACCGATATTCATTCTTTCTCATACCATTGTGTTTTAAATGAAAAGAGCTGACTTTCTATAATGAATCCATTACTTTTTATCAGATAAAATGTTAAAAAAATAAATGTTATACCTGCTCTGTCGTCATTTTAGTGTTGCTATACACACATCTTAGTTTGAAGCATTCACTACACAAAATCACATCTCTACTTTTTCCTGATTTTAAAACGTCCCTGTTGATTTTATCTGCTTCAGCTTCTAGCCCCTGCACATTTGCGAAAGAAGGTCTGTGTTTGTCATTAGTCATCATTCCATAGAGCTAAAAATAAATGACAACCAAAGTAGCGTTGACATTTATAATGCATAACTATTTGAGCAGTATGCAATATTTAACTAATATTATAGTGAATAGTTACCATTAAAACTATGAACTAGGTTCTGCAACAAAAAAAGAATTGGCTGATAAGATCTTGTTAATATGGATAAAGAAGTTGTATTAATTTATTGGTTTTTTTCCATATAATGCAGGTTGTCTAGTAAATATCCTATGAATATAACACAGGTTATTTTTTATTCATTAAAATTTTGAGAGCTGTATCATAGCATAGACAGATGTGTCCAGAGACCAAAAAGGCCATTTAAAATACACAACTGTCTTTTAATGGGTGTAATGTTAAATTTGTTTTACTTTTATTAAAATGCAAAACTGAAGATGTGAATTTATTAGTTATTCATGTATATATACCCAAATTAATAACTATAAATCATGAAGAAGTGTGTTCCGGTAAAGGTTTCAAACATAAGTTTACTGATCGTAAATGACCGAACTTTCAGCTGACTATGCCGTATGGATTTTGCTCATTGTTGAAGTCTGTAAGGTGACCTATAGTTGTTAACTTCTATGTCATTTGGTCTCTGGTGGAATGTTGTCTCATTGGCAATTATACCACATCTTTATATTTTTATATTAACTGTAACTTTGTATATCCGTACCTGATCAAATGGTTTATTATGTTGGCCTGTTTCATCGGGAATAGGATCTGGCAAAAAATGAAGCTTGCTGAACTCGGCATCATCAAGTCTTATTGGATTTAAGACACAATATGGACAATTTCTACACTTGTTCAGCTGAAACCCATAGTGAGAAGACTTCCCATGCCTTTCAATAAAATCCTTTTTTATATAATTAAATGCATTTCAATTACACAGATATCAAGTATGTACAATCAATATCACATTATATGTCTATTGATAAAAGAACTTTTACTTGTAGGAAAACAAATAAAGTTTATATCAAAAGCAATTATTTGCTAAATGTGCAATACAAGTACACTGTATATGATTTCTGTTTCTGAATTGATTGATTGGTGGAATAAGACTTTACACCTCCTATGCACAATGCTTCTGAATTGTGTTAAATAAAGAACAGAACAAAGCACATGTACACATGTACATGTATGATTTTGACCTCTGACTGCATTGCAATAGGTGTCTTGCTAATGTCATATGTAAGCACATAGCAGGTTTGGTGAACATCCATTTAAAAGTAGTGTCTGTAAAATGTATACATTGTTTAATTGTTTGTATTTCATTACTATGATCACAAGGGGATACAAATTCATTAAAATGGGATACATGTAAAAAGCTATTTTATTAATTGAGAACATAATATATTTAGACAGTATATTTTTTTTTTAATCATTTTGTTAATTATTGGAAGAATTTTTAGGTGATGATGGTAGATCTTGATTCTGGTTAAAATCATATTCACAACTTTAGAGACTCAGGACAATAAAGAGCTTAACAATTGTCTATTGCTGAAGACAGTATGTTGTCCTCTTGAAGTCTTTTGATTGTTTTTGTTACTGGGTTACTCTCTCATAAATTTATATCACAAATCCCCTTTTATTCAAATAAACATGTCCCTTCAATGCCTTTGTATTGGGAGTAAAATACAAATATATGTAAAACATACCTTTAAATCTTTCAATTTGTGTAATTCTTTACTGTTAATTGATGAATTGAGTTTTGTGTGGTCTGCTTGAACAAACTGACGTACAATAACTAGTCTGTCTTCAATTTCCTCCTTTCTTACACCTTTGTATGTTATTATATTTTCCCCTTTCAGTTTCATTCGGCTAGACCTGTTATTAATCTTGTCAATTACTGGATTAATGCTGGTTGAAAAAGCTGCTTTGAAGCCTTCTTTGTATTCTACTAGATTACGTATAGCTGTTAGTGAAGATTTATTTTGATAGCTTTTTCAAATCTCTCATCCATCGTGTTTCTCTCTAAAGCTACATGTTGAAGAGTAAGATCTAATAAAGACATAAAACGTTCCGCAAGATTCATACAGCTATGATTTGGTGCGGTCCTTATTGCCACAATTATGTCTATATCTAGCTGCATAAATAGTTGTACCAAAGATAACTTTACAGTTTCAAATGTGACCCTGTGATCTGGGCCACCATCAGTAAGTAAGCAAAGTACAGGTGTTGTTAAATCAACATTATTTCCAGAATAATGATCCCTCAATATTCTGGTGATCTCTGTGGCATGTATACAAGGACCTGATGCTTCGAAAACCTTGTCTTTAGTGGTTACAAATATTTTCCCTTGAAACAAGCTGTCATTACAGTGTATTGGGATGGTTGTAACCAATGCAACTGATGGAACTATACCAGCCAGATGAAAATCATGATCAGTAGCTACAAGTTGCGGACCTGATGCTGGTGCTAATACCCTATTGTGACCTCTCTCACCTGTAGATATTGGGCATCCTGGTTCCCCAACTGGTACAATAGACGTATCATCAAAGCAAACAAATGTTACAAATTGTTAAAAAGGTGTGAATTGTAATCCTATTGTTTCTACACTTGGAACAGAAGCATCAGGAGGAATACGTTTAATGATTTCTGATCGTAGGTGTTCAACTGAAATTGCTAGTGGCAAGTACAGTTCTTGTGAATGTCGCCTGTGATGATATTGCATCAATTGTTCATCAAAATACTTGCCTAGTTCATCATAAAACAAATCAAATTTAGTATCAATTTCTTTGCCATTAAGCTTCCTGAAATCAAGCAATAATTCAGGGTCATCACTTCCTAGTAATATTTCAGTTACCCGTTGATTAACTTCATCCTGTACTTTATTTTGAGCTTGAATTTCACAACCAGTTAATTCCAAAAACATATGCCTCAAAACACTTTTTGGAGTTTTAATGAAATGTGAATACTTGTTTATAAAACCTCTTCTGATGGCTCTGCTAGAATATTTAGGCAAAGTTGGAGTAATTTTAGCAATTATTTTGGTATTACGCTCTGAGGTTTCAACACTATCTTCTGATGAGGTCTGCCAAACAAAATTTAGAGTGCCTATTGAACCACCATATGCCATTCGAAAAAGCATAATTAGACAAGAAAGTCCCAACTCATTTACATAAATCCGTCGTTTTAAACGATCTTCTGGTGAATAATTGTCAAGATCAATAAACTGTAAATTAGCAACTTTCTTAATAACAGAATCTAGTTTTCCGTATCGGTTATGTACATTCTGCACTGCAGGAATACATTTAGTCATAGAATCCTGTTCTACAGTTCTTGCTGGTTCCGTTCTTTTATGATGCAGAGTTTTATGTCTAAAATTATCTTTGTCAAGTTTTTTTTTTATATTTAGTTAAACACTTAAGAAGAGCCTCCATACAACACCTTATTTTGCGTTTACTTTGCATTGATAGGAAACTGAGTGCTTTTGCAAGATCAGAACAAATAATATCAAGTTTTTCAGATGTCACAGAAGGTGCCTTATGATGAAATTTCCAGAAACTATTATACCCGTGAAACGACTGAAACATAGTGGGAACTTGACATCCACTTTCTTGTAGTCTTTTATGGATATGATCTATATACCACAAATCCTTTTTCAGTTTATTTAACACAATTGTCCCCGATTCCAAAGTATCTGATGTCCACCCACACTCCATTGTACCAGCTATGTCAATAAGGTCAGACAACAGTTTCTCTGGGCCTATCAATTTCTCCTTGCCCTGTTCACACGATGTTGGTTTAGGTTTTTTTGGAAGTTCTATGTTTTTTTTCACAAACACTGCAAATGCATTCTTTTTAGGGGGACCAGTTGGTATTTCAGTTAAATTATTGTTTGGATCTGAGGGTGTTCGTCTTTCTACTAGTATTTCAAAATTCACAAATTTACAGTCGCCCCACACAGAAATATCCATGTCAGTGCCAACATTGATAGGTGATGCCGACGTTTGTTGACGAATTAGTGTGTGTGTTTGATATCATCAAAAGAAATATTGACGGACTTTACTCTTTTCGCTTCATAGAAAATATCTTCAAATGTAAATGATGACGAATACCGGATAGCTGTTTGTTCAATGATTGTCTGCCCACGGCATTGAGCCGAAACCACAACATCTGATTAACTTGCCAATTTTGATTTTTATTTCCTTTCACATTTTATTGATGGATCACACGTGCGTTTGAACCGAGATTTGATTATACGCAAAAAGAAAGCGTCAGTTTGAAAAAAAAATTGAAGGCAAGAATAATTTCGGAGTGGCATGCGGACCAAAAAAATACGGAAGCGGTAATTATTTTTTGTTGTTGAAAAGTTGATTTCTCCAAAACAGGAGCGGGAAAATCCAAAGAACTATTAATCAAATTGGTGTGGCCTTAGGTAAAAATATTCTGGAGACGAGTTCTTGCTTATTCTTTCTTACAGTAAAAACAGTATGCGACCAATTCGAACTGACAAATTATCAAAATCGACAACTAGTGACTCAGTTTGACGATTTCTTTAGCACAAAATATCCTAACAACTTATAACGCCCTCTCTAAATATTCTCCTTCCTTTTTGTTTTTTATTTTAAACTTTCTTCCGTTCATGTTTAAGGATAAGTCATTTTTTTTCTCTCGATTATATGAATAGTGTGTTGCGTATACAAGCGACGTCTGACAATTTTTTTGTGGAATAAAGCTTTATCTCACGATTCGGTGTAGGAGGTGTACGTTTTACAAAATGAAAAGTGGGTACTGACAAATCCGCGTTAAAATATATTATTGAGAGAAACACTCGCAGCAATCGTTTCCTGAACATTTCACTGAAAATGAAAATTCTGTAATTGACAATTACAGCTTCTTCGGTTAGTGTTTTTCTTCGACTCAAACATTTAAACGGAATACTAAGATAATTAAAACCATCACTTATATATATGTTTTAAAAAATCTAGTTTTTCAATTTTTTTATTATAAATTCCTATACAAATATACATATATAGCAGCTATAAAAGCACATACATGGTCCCTACTTGAATGGAGATATCAAGTGAATTATTAAAGTAGTTAAGTTTTTTTAACTTGAGTATGCCAATGGCAAAATTGTAGCGATTACGATTTTGCAATGCACAATGCACATTGATTTTCTTTTAAATACATTAATACATTGTATTTATGTCCAACATAAAG